AGAAGAAACATACTACTTTCAGAAAAAAATTTCCTATCCAGGATTATAATAGTCCTTACTGTTGTTATTATTATTAGTAGTAGTAATAGTAGCGTAGTAGTAGTGTTAGTGGTCGTGTTGGTAATAGTAGTAGTATTAGTGGCAGTAGTGTTAGTGTTAGTAGTAGTAGTGGTAGTAGTAGTAGTAGTAGTAGTAGTAGTAGTAGTAGTAGTAGTAGTGTGGTGTACGCCACTTATATTGACATAAGTAGTATATGATGTCCGTCGTGAACAGAGGGCCTGGCAGCAGAGAGACAAGAGGATCGAACAGTAAAGAATGGAAGCATAATTTAATTTGTATGAAAATGCAAGAACAATGAAGTCTGAGTCATTATGAGATAATTGATTGACATTTTACAAACTACGTATTTACTATTTGATTGTTAGATTTTACTAACAAGTCCTGTAATTTCGTGCCAAATACATTCGATTGTCTCCACTGGTGTTCTTGTTCACTACAGTAGTAGTTGTCGTCGTAGTGGTAGTGGTAGCAATATTAGTAGTAGTAGTAGTAGTAGTAGTAGTAGTAGTAGTCTTTAGGGCCATGGTAGTAGCATTAGTATTAGTAGTCTTGGTGGTAATAGTAGTGGTGTTATCATTATTATTATTATTAGTGGTAGTATTGATGTTACAATTAATGAGTTTGGTTTGCTTTTAGGTTGATAAATGAAGAATACATGGGAAGAAAATAGGCAAGTCGGTGAATGATCTAAAATTTGAAGATGAAATTATCATTATAATGCTGGTAATAAAGATAAAAGAAAATAACTGCCAACCCATAACATGATGTCATGTAATCAGTTGTAAACATACACCCCCACCCGTCCATGAAGCTAATATTGGAAAGAAAAAGTATCACTTCAAGATGGCTAGTTTTAGAGAATAAAATACTTTGATTGTAAAATATGTCATACAGGCAATAAGGTTGTAGTGAACAAGGACACAACCATAAAATTACATAATCACTTACTAACGTCTGAGAATCATACAGCATATACTTCATTAGCAAATATCAGTCCATCGTCTACAGATTTCATTGTTCCTGTATTTTCATAATAATTGATTTCCTTTTTCATTCTTTCCTTCTCAATTTTCTACTGAGATACATTATATTCTTAACTATTGTTATATACTACTACTTATGTGGATATAAGTAGCATACAAGATGTCCAGAAAATAAAACAGCATAAAAAAGGACCAGTAGCAATCATGGTGAGAGTCATAAAGATGACATGATTATACTATAAAATAATGTCACTAATATATTAGTGGATTGAATAAAATCAATCAAAAGTGAATATCAAAAAGATGGTGACTTATTAGTATCATATTAATATAAAATGTAGCTACATTTCTGAAATTTTATAATACACCTTAATATACTTCAATGTGTAAGTTTAAACTGTGTTGTAGCAGTAAATAAATCCCCAAAATAAATAGCTCCGTAAGTTTTCAACATTGGATGCTGACCACATTAGTTCTAATGGACTCACCTAGCTGAAGGCGCTTGGTCATGCATCAATACCAGATCACGAGTGGGAACGCCGTGCTCAACAACCCCTGCAATCGCTAGCCAGATTAGATCAGATGATCCTCGATATACTGATAGCCTATCAAATATATCTTCGAACATCCTCGCTTCTGTCTTTTGATTTCACTTTTAGTGGGTACGATTCATATTAGAACGCGTTACTGGTTAAAGCGTTGTCAAACTCGGAATACATGTGGCATCTTCATTTGGTGAGCCAAACGTGTACTATATTATGTAAGTCAGTTTGTACTTCTTTCTTTGAATCTTTAAAACGAACTGATCAATTTTTTAATCCATTCAAATCTCTTTTCTATTTTTTAGGGTGCCAATGATATTCTATATATATTCAGATAGGTAATATGAAATTGTAGTGTGACGTCGAGTCGCGGTTGACTATGATCACCACTACAGGAAGACTACATGCCAGTTAACCGATAAGATCCCCCGTAAACCAAATATCAGAAGGCAGTTGATGGCTGTAGTCGAGATGTATTTGTTGGCGATCGCGTGTTATCTCATCTACATTGAACATTGAATATGTTCCATAAATTACTTTTTAGTAGTTTCATATTCCGTATGATTATGTGGTCTAAATTTCACCACACGATATACTGTGGAATTATGGTCTACTATGATATTAGTACTACTCTAATAATAGACCTTATCCTAAAATTGTAGATTTGTCACGATATAACTGCCTAATCTATAAGATCTTATGTGGAAGTCACATCATCGTCTACACCAACTCACTGCATCGTAACAACTACCAATACAGGATGAAGAACAAGCTTAGGCTAGAGAAAGAGCAATATATATAATATGAATAAAAGATACAAGGTAATATTCAGCTGCGACCACGCCTGCATGGCCGAGCCATGTCATTCGGTCAACTCTAATTCATTCCATTCCTTGTTCGCGGCTTCTCCATCGTTAGGTATTTCTCCGCGTTAAATATTGAATATCTATTTTCCGAGCAATCTCGTATTCAGCTTTGAAGATTGTGTGGTTATTGTCCAATGCCACTACAATACCATATATCTCTAAATCTCTCTGTAGTTATTAACTTCCTCTTTTACTGAAAGTAGTCCTTCATTATCGGAAGGTAGTGTCTGTGTTACAAATTCTGCCTTTATAGATATATGGTAATATTTTGAACTCAAATGAAGTGAGTAATTTTTATTCATTCCCGCTCATCTGTACTTTTTTATTTGAGCAGATCAAAATCTGGACGTAATCACACGTTATTTTACAAATAACTAATTAGAAAAGTACCAAATATATAACTAAAGACAATTCGTGTAAGTAGAGTAAATTATTCTTTTTTCTGCGGTTAAGAGGTTTCTACACAGTATTCCTAGTGCAAAGTGTGTTCTTATCTAATATATCTATAGAAAAGCTTAGTATTGATTTCCACAAAATGTTTTAAACAATTCTGATACTTTATTAGATCTTAACCAAATTTTAGGGTCCAGCTACTGCTTAATTACATATAAGATATCCAGTTGATGGTTTTTGCCATAAGACACCATTTGTTTCGTGTTTCACACCTACTAACGCTAATTTGGGGTGTTTTAGATTTTATACACGAGTAAATTTTTACAGCTTGATTTGTGGTCGGAAGAGAGAAATATATCGACCGATGGGCTGGATGAGGTTGTCCATAAAGTGACTATGTAGTGGTATTGGCTGTCAGTCATACGATCTTTGAGGACGAACATACGACAACCGAAGAGGTTTAAATTCAAGATTTAACACTCAGAGAGGAGTAGATACGGTAAAAACGGAGGGAATTAATCGAGACGACATGATTCAACCATGTGGGCGTGGTGAATATGTAACTTATTCCTCCTTATATTAAATATATTATTCTATCCCTAATCCGAACGCGTTATTCAGGAACGCTATACAGCATATTGCTGATTGTCACGATAGGGCGAGTTAGCATAGACAATGATGTGACTTACACGAAAGATCTTATAGACTAGGTAGTTATATCATGGCAGGTCTACAATTTTATGATCAAGCTTATTATCCCAGTAACATTGATGAATGCACTTAATACTTGTCAGGGTAAAAATCCTACAACTACATGTTGATAGAGTGATTTTCATTTATCCGTGATATATTTCCCGTGCTATTATAGTCAACGGTCACTGATTACAGAAATAATAAATGATCGGAGTGAATTATCACTATGGTCGATTGGATTTAGGAAATTACCTTCAAAGACTGCACTGGATGACTGGTAAAGGTCTGGTTCAGTTTAGAGGCTTTTTTACTAACGTTTCAACGAAAATACTGAGATGCATTTTCAGAAACAAGCCGGATTCTTTAATCAATTTCATGAAGTTATTGAAATGTCTGGAGTTACTACCTATGCATAAGAGACTGGAGTCGTCGAAATAAGTCAGTAGTATAGCCCGAGTAAATTCATTTAGACATTTCGCATGATGACTTGTAGAACTAAATGGTTCAAAATTATCTGAGGTCCATAATACTCCTTATAAGTATAAACTACAATAACATTTTATAGTGCACCATGATATATCTCTCTGTCTTATCCTGCGAAATGAGATGTCATGCACTTTAACGAGGTGTGGTAGGTGATGTACTATCACAACCTCTATAGTATGTGACTTGTCATTTCGAAAAAAGGATTCTTATGTTACAATTCAAAACGAAATAAACCACTTATACACCAGTTTCATAGGCAGCTATTATGCTTGTGTAGCAGTCAAACACTATCTCTCTTACTTCAGTGCATTTCAAGCATAGCTAATTTACATTGCTATACTTGCGGTTGTAGCGGTAAATAAATCCCCAAAATAAATAGTCGTGTAAGACTTCAACCCTTGACTACTTATTTGCGACCGGTTAGGAACTAATCATGGGAAGATAATTGAAACTCAACCACGAAATTACGTGATTTTTTTCGGTGAAGGCCTGCAAACTATGAGATCCTTATTTGTATAGATAGTGATAGGACCTTCAGCTGATTCCTGAAAAGGAAGAATCAACTCCTATTTAAGGTACTTTAAAGTCATCTTTACTTTTAGTACTGAATAGTATTTTATGGTAAAACATGAACTACGTCTTTAAGAAAGTAAGAACTATCTCATCATAATCACTCACTTAGCAAAGGATATCAGTAGAGTACTGAAGTCCGGGAGAGGCTATTGGAAAATCTAACTGAACCCGTATACGTATCAAGAGGACTACTTATTGAGTTACATTTTTGACAGATCACTTTCACATTCCTGATACAGAAAGGAGACTTTAAATCCTTCTGCAGACAGTTGATATCTCATGAATGATACTAAAGAAATTCATTAAAATTGCTAATTGATCACAGTTTCTATTATTCCAAAGAAACCCAATAGCTGGGTGCATGAGTAAGTATATACACTTGTGTAGCTAGGTTACCGTTTAACCGCATTCAGTGTGCTTTACTCTCTGTTTTAGCGCACTAGTCAACTTTGACCTTGCTAACAAAGGGGTCGTTAGGATTATTATATGAGGTTCTCGCAAGAGATTATTCCCGATTATTTCTTTAATTAACTCCTAAGAAGTCTAGCATTCAAATTCTTTGACTCAATTTTATTGTTTGTCATTGAAATGCTGGGTGGCTTTATTCTCGATATAACTCGATTTCTTGTATTTTTTGCGAACATAGATGTACATGTATATATATATATATATATATATATATATATATATATATATATATATGCTCGGGTATTTCAGTTATCGGTTTAAAAATATTTTTGTGGATGCAGGGTGTTCATATAAAGTAATAGTGTGATTTTAAACAGTATTTCGACCTTTGTGAATAATGTTTGGTAAATATCTCTTTTCCTGTAGGAGAATATATTGGAAAATGTACTTCCAGATTGAATGTTTTTCGGATCACTTATATGTGTATTTTATCGTCGACTGTGGCCATATGACATTTCAGCACATTACAATTTTCAGTTCTCCGCTTTTTTGGTCATTAGTTTCTTTTGTCTCTGGGTACTATTGTATCTAGTTTCGTTTTACAAACCTGTTTGTTGTCTGAACAGTGCAAAAAAAGGAATTAGCAACGCACAAACTGCCGATACTTCATTGAAGGCGGCATGTAGGGTGATAAGTGCAAAGGACAGTACCACAAAGTTTGCACGAATCCAACACCGGCTCTCAAACGGCTTAGTAAGAATGGTTGCACGTGGTTTTGTTAGCAGTGCTGCTCGGACGCAAATAGCTTGCTAACCGAGATCATTTCAGTGGTAAGTGCTGCTATAAAGTGTACAAGCCAACAATGTTGAAACATCGAAAAATACTCGCTCTGTCGATACACGAATTTATGTGAATTCACCTCAAATAAGCTCGGTAACAGCTGACTTATATGGATCGAAGAAAAAAACCGACTTCAAAGAGGTCTGTTCTAAATAAAAGCTCAAGAGAGGAAGTTTCCTCCACCCCACATCCTCTAAATGGTATCCGGCATGAAACGTCTAAAAAGCCCAATCGCAAGGCTAGATCTGTTTCCGTCGGGAAAACCAACCTGACTGCTAAACTCACCTGTGACTTTCCGCAACCCCACAGTGTGTTTGACTCGACTGTGGTCGCTACTCCAACGAAAGTTGATGAGTAAGTACAGGTCAAGAACAAGAAAGGGCATAACGCTATTAAAGAAAATCCAACCCATCCCCAAAGTAGCCGAGAAATTAAAGACTGATCACGCTGACAGAGGATTTACGAGGACACCAAAAAGGTTTACAAACCCGAAACAAATTACTTGTCAGCTGACTATCGACTTTCTCGTCGAGTCGCCAACGAGTGGAGTTTATTACCTTAACACGTGGTTGAAGCTCCATCTGTCAACTGCTTCAAAAGAAAGTTGAACCAACCGAGAAACCATCATTGCCAGGAAAAACATAGGCCATCTAGCCTCCTGTTCTTTTCCAAACTGAAAGTATGTTATTGGAAGTATCAATCTATGTTATGTAGTTTGAGTTGTGTCAGAGTACTTTTGTTCACTTCGTTTTGTTTCTAGATAAAGAATGGTGCAGTTGGTATAAGAACTTCAGACGCTGATGACTGACATGAAATCGGTTTTACATTAGGGATATCAACATGTGCAAGTTAATAGATTCATAACTTCACTAGTATCCTCCCTCAGGACGTATTTCTTATCGTTCAGATCGTCTGTAGTTATTATTAATTAGCCTCAATATTCGATTGTTATCGGAATAATTTCATTTCGTAACTGCATGACTTTGATGTACTGATTAAATTTAGGGTATCAGCATATGTGCATATCACACTCCTCTTTTAATGGTGGTTGGGTTGAAACTACTTTTCTAAGCAACAATTTACTGACACAGCTTTCAAAAAGTCACTTAGTTGTAATCTTTATCTCGAGCAAGAAATCCTTTTAGTTATTCATAAACTTCATATAATTTCCAAGTGGCTTGATATCTGATTACATATGACAGGCATAAAATGTGTAACGTAACCTAGCAATTACATGGGGACCAAATCTTTTTTTTCGTAATTGTTAGAGATGCTGTCTAACCCCGGTGAGAAAGGTTTTAAACCCAGGGCCACTTGTCTAAAAGTCAAAGATTAAGACATTAACCTCACTTATAGTCGATCAGCATTACGGTTAACAAACACGTAACTAATCTGACTTGTCTTTGTCCTTCTTTTTTCATATTGCGCACTCATCTAAGTTTACTACATTGAGAATCGTACAATCATTATTATGGATCCTTCATTTATGATAAAGTTAAACAACATAGCAGAAAAGGTAGTATCTTTCAATATATATCTTACAAGTTACTATTCATTATAAATTTTAGTATAATTATGAATTTCGTGATTGTGATATAGTTGATTTAACAGAATTTTCAGTCACTAAAACAGGAGGTAGATAAATATATATTTTTTTAAAATAAGATTTGAATATCACTTATAGATTTCCTATCATCATTACCAGATAGTATATTATCAGATGATGAAAATGATTGTGATATTGAAAATATTCAACCATCTACAAATAGAACAGGTATTGACTTCGAATATATTTGAGTTAATTTCTACTAAAGGATCTTTTACAAATACTACTATTGTCGGTACATGTAGTGATACAGAAAAGGAAGAAGAAAATGAGGAAGAGGAGGAGGAGGATGAGAAGGAAGTAACAATGGAAAGTTCATTATTTAATGAAAATTCCAAAATGGTAAGAGTTACTTTAAGTTTTTAAATAAAAGTTTTAATTTTTAGGATTTTAATAATGTAAAAGCTGCTTTATGTTGTAAGTATGAAATATCCTCTCATAAATATCTTATTATTTATAGCATTGGAAAAATCAGTATCTTCTTGGGAAAAGCGAAGATTTGGTTCACTGAATGGGTCAAATTTATATACAAGCAATAGTAGTAGTAGCAGCACTAAAAACAGTCCTATCCCAGGTAAATTTTTTTAACGATGCTAAGGTTGTGTGAAAAAATATCACTATACTGATAATGGTAAAAGAAAAAGGCCATAACAAAAGTTGCTTACTTCCTGGTAGTTATTCACGTCAGTCAGTCAGCTACAACGTAGGACCAGGCACATATGTGCATCGGTCCAGGTTGCCATACCGCATCAGCACAACAAGATGAACACCGGATTCACAACAGTGGTTAGGTCAAAGGTGGTAATATATAAGAGAAAGATTGCATATAGAGATATAGTACAAGAAGAAAGAATTGGTTCGTAGAAGGAAAGATATGAAGTGAATTTAATCTCCTAGTTTAAGGGAAGACACAGAGTGTATACACATACGCCATTGTGATCGATTCTGAGCCATGTCACACACAGTCTCCAACCATTGGTTACGATAGTCACGTGGACCCCAATCAAGTATTCTGCATCTACCAACAAGGCACAGACCAGAAGTTAGTGTCTTCAAGCACTGATGCCACGTTTTGGTTTGGCCGCCCCTAACTTTCTTCCAACCATCTCCAATACCGGATAGCATTGCACGTCGTGGTAGTCGGTGTTCAGGCATACGTAACACGTGGCCCAACCATCTCAGTCGATGAAGATTCATAACCTCATAAACTGATTTACCATCATTCCCTAATACCCTGCGTTTAACCTCACTATTACTTACCCGGTGATCCCAGCAGATGCCAGCAATATTTCTGAGGCATCTGTGGTCAAATACTAATAGCTTACGAGTGTCTTCTACTCTTAATGGCCATGTTTCGCTACCGTAAAGTAAAACGGAACGGACTGCCGCGCAGTATACCCGTCCTTTTATTGACAGACGGATATCTCGCCTTCGCCAAAGGTGACGCAAGTTGGCAAAAGCCAAGCGAGCTTTTCGAATCCATGCTGAGATTTCGTCAGACACCAACCCATTAGGGCTGATCAGACTTCCAAGATAAGTGAATTTGTCGACGCGTTCGACTACTTCATTCCCTATCCTTAGTTCAGGTGTTGACACAGACCAGTCCTGAAGCAACAACTTGCATTTAGAGGGAGGGAAGCGCATTCCAAACTTTCTGGCATTGTTGCTCAGTGCTACCAGAAGACTCTGCATTTTGTCAGCGTCTTCACCAAACAGGACTATGTCATCTGCGTATTCTAAATCGATAAGTGGACCTCCTGGATGGAGATCAATACCCGAGAACTCAGTCGACGAGAAAGTTATTTCCATCAGTAGATCTATGATGAAGTTAAACAAAAATGGGGAAAGTGGACAGCCTTGACGGACACCACTTGAGGTTGCAAAAGTAGATGACAGTTCGCCATAACCCCTGACTCGACTAGTAGTGTTCGAGTAAAGAGCCTTCACAAGGTTTATGTACTTCTGTGGTACATCTTTCAATGACAGACACTGCCACAGAATCTCGCGGTCTACCGAGTCAAATGCTGCTTTTAAGTCAAGAAAGACCACCATTATCGGACGCCGATAAGTATGCCTGTGTTCTAGAATCTGACGAATGGTGAATATGTGGTCGATGCAGCCACGACCAGGTCTGAAGCCAGCTTCAGTCTCTCGTGTTTGCAGTTCACGAGTCTTAGTCAGGCGTCTGATAATTATCGAAGCTGGTATTTTAGATATTATATTAGTTAAACTAATCCCTCTGTGGTTGTCACAAGATGATTTATTGGGACGATAAGTGATTGTGACCAATTAGATGGGATAACGTCTAACTCCCAGATCCTAGCTAAAATATTAGTCAACCTAATCGCTAAAATTGGACCACCATCCTTAAAGACCTCTGGAGCCAGTCCATCTGGACCAGCTGCCCTTCCTCGTTTCAGATTAACTATGGCCTTTTGAACTTCAGCAAGAGTCGGGGGACCTACTTCAATGTTCCATTCACACTGTCTGGGAATGGAGGGTAGTTGTAGAGTAGCTGAAGGCCAGTTGAACTGTTCTCTGAAATGTTCCGCCCATCGTTCTAAACGTCTGGACTGGGAGCAGATGAGAGTATCGTCTTTTTCCGATATAATCTCACTTACACTTGACTTATTAATTCCAGTTTCTTTCATTAGTCTGTAAAGCTGTCTTGTGTTCCCTATAGTCGCCGCCTTTTCCATCTCTTTTGCTTTCATTGCCCACCACTGCTCACGGTCGTTTCTTAGACTTTTTCTTAACCTAGATCTGATTTGTTGTCACTCTTCATCATGTTCGGAACCTGATGGGACGAGTTTGCGAGAATCCATCAGTGTGATAGACTTTGAAGAAATCCATTGGTTCTTTGTAACCCTGTGGTTTAAATCACTGATAGATATCACTACTGTTTCGACAGCTGTTTGTATGGCTTTCCAAGCAACAACTGGGTCAACCTCGTTTTCAGAACTACCTAATCGTGACCTTAGTTGTTCCTGGAACCTACTTTTGGTTTCCTCGCTACTCAGTTCGGTTCTAATGGGTCTTTTTACTGTGGCTTTTTTGCGTCCAGTGAGGCGCAAGCAGATGCGTGCCCGTATTAGGGCGTGGTCGGAGTCCAGGCAGGTACTCCAGAATGAGCGACAATCTTCTACCGACCCTCTCCAACGATGACTGATGGCGATATGGTCTATTTGAGTCCATCGTTGGTTTAGTGTAGGGGGTCGCCATGTTAGACGATGTCTCTTCTTATGCTTAAAATTTGTGTTTGCTAAAAATAAACGATTGTCTGAGCACAGTTGCAGCAGACGGTCACCATTATCTGTTCGCTGTGCCGGAATGCTAAAATATCCACCTAAATGCCTTTCTGTTTGGTTTAAGCTACCTATCTGAGCATTAAAGTCACCCCCTATGAGTACTATGTCTGAGCGTTTAGCTTTCTGAAGAAGTTAATTATAAAGTGCGTTTTTAGCATTGTCAAGAACCATCTCAAAGCAAATAAACCACTGGCATAGTTATTCTTAACACATTAGTAGCCAATTACATACTCGTTCTTACTTGATATGATGTTTTGTCAATAGTCATTTGGAAGTATCCCTGTGTACAATTGATTGATCGTTGGGTAGTGATCAATGTCATATGTGTTAGGTCCTTCTTAGTTCACATCGAATGCTATCGCCTGGATAGCCCAGTGGTAACACCTTTGACTGTGAAGCTGAGTGACACGGTATCGAATTCGTCAGGGAGCACCGATTCCCTCAAGACTACAGGTACACCTTGCTAACGAGTGCCAAATTGCACGAAATCCTGTTGACTACCTCTAACCACACCATCGTATTCCTATTTATCTTTTAGTAGCTTTAATTCCTTAAAATATTAATAACAATTGTTCTCATTATCAAACAACAATCAGATAATCGTTTTATTTTATTTGGAACATTTCGCCCATCAATTTGGCACTTTAGTGACTGAACATTTACATACCACGATAGTTATTATCCCTAGTGGGCAACGATAAATATCAAATTAAGGGATTAGCTAGGTTGAGTACAACGGGAATGACAAGATATGACATGAAGTTAGTCACTCATTCTTCCGAACTCGAATCTCTTGTATTATGTAGGTCAGTAGGCTTTTGGTTTAAATCTGTCTGCACCCATTTCTTGTTAATGTTCCTGTTAATTTTATTTAAATTATTAAAATATTTAACTAATCAACTTAATACCAATTGATCATATTACATATCGTCTTCTTTTGTGAATACTCTTAACGATATAATTCATCCATATTGTCCTTTCACTTCTTGGACCTGGTAGTAAAAAGGTAGCTACTCAGTTTACAGATATGGCTTTTTTAATCTGTATATCAGTCAATAAGGCATTCAAATCCGACACAATGGATTGCAGTCACAAATCCGAATTTGATTTGTCTAGATTTGATCCAAAAAGTATTATCACTAGTTCTCAGGTAGTATGTGTAACTTATGACATGATTACTTACTTACTTACGCCTGTTACATCCAATGGGGCATTGGCCGCCGACCAGCATTCTCGAACCAACTCTATCCTGGGTCTTCCTTTCTAGTTCTATCCAACTTGCTCATTCTTCTCATGTCTGTCTCCATTTCTCGGCGTAATGTGTTCTTTGACCCTGAGGATTCTAAGTGAGGACTTGCCTTGTGACACAGTTCGATGTGTTCGACTCACTTCCAGCACTTCTCCCTCCACCGGGATATGGCTTGTTCTGTCCCACAGTAGGTTGTTGTTGATAGTGTCTGACCAACGGATTCGTAGTATTTTGCGTAGACAATTGTTAATAAACACTTGTATGTTTTGGATGATAGCTTTCATAGTTCTTCAAGTTTCCGCCCCATACAGTAGAACTGTCTTGACATTTGTATTGAAAATTCTAACTTTGGTGTTGGTTAACAGGCAGTTGTTTTGAGTTCTAGATATTCTTCAATTGCAGATATGCTGCTCTTACTTTGCTTATCCACGCCTTCATGTCTGCATCAGATCCACTGTGCTTATCAGTGATTCTGCCTAGATATGTAAAGGTTTTTACATCCAAAGCTTCTCCATCAATTGTGATTTGGTTGGTGCATGTTGTGTTGTATCGGAGAATCTTGTTAGTTCCTTTGTGTATGTTGAGATTGCTGCCACACTGGTCGTCTCCCGCATTTGTCATTGCGTGTGCGATAGTAGAGTCAGATAATCTGCGAAGTCTAGGTAGTCCAGCTGCATCCTATCTGTTCACTTTATTCCATGTTTCTCCCCAGATATTGACATCTTCATAATCCAGTCGGTCACCAGGAGAAAGAGAAAGGGTGAGAGTAAGCAACCTTGTGTGGAACTAATCTATAAATGTGCTGTATAGCAAATCATCAAATTTATGCAAAGTACAGAATTTGTCTCAAATAATCTTTGCCAATATGGTCAATACATTTTAATTATCTAAAGCTATTAATTGAGGATGCTAGTAATTACTTGACATACAACGTTAGCCGGACACAAAAAATTCATCTGTTCACTTGAATCTTCCCATTGATGTCTTTAGGACTGCAATTGATCAGTCTCTTATTGGGATATATGAATACTATGCGTATTGCCTTAATGCACAAACATTATAAACTAAGATTTCTTTGTACTATCATGTCTGTTTAAACATGTACGCTTGATCATATGTGACAGCCTACGCACATATCTCTCTAGCTAAAGTGTCAATCATTTAAATATCGCTGAATGAATCATTCTCTTCCCCATGTGTATATGTACTCAAACCCTAATAATAGCATTTACCTTACTTTGCTGTGTCCTTATTCAATTTGACTATAAATTTGCCTCTATATTCGCTCGGCCGCTCGGACATATTCACCTCTCTGCATCAAATTCACTCGATGTAATTGTAACTTTGTTATCCATTCAGCAGCGATTTGGAAGACTCCCGGTCTCCTACATTGTATGAGCATTCCATGTACCTAAATAAATAGTTGCTCTGGTTGTCAGAAGGTGCATCAGCCTCGTAACTTCCGAAGGAACTCGGCTTTCACCATGAAGCATCATAACTCTTCTAAATGAAGACCTTCTAATTCCCAGGGTAGAGTTTAAATGTTTTGAATAATTTTCTTCTGGTTAGCGTTTTTTTGGCGAGTTAGTTTTCTGTAGGATGGGGTCGCTAACCCCACACCCAACCCTTATCCTTTATCCGGGCTTAGGACCGGCATTAGCCCCAGAGGGGCTCCAGGCAGAGTTTGTTGTTATCCATGCTATCCTCTAATAAACTAATCATAACCACAATTGATTGATCACTGGGTGGTGATTAATATCATGCGTGTCAAGTCCTTATTTAGTGCAGATCGAATGCTATCGACCATGTTGCAATGTGGCTACCACTCTAGGTGACTCGACACTGCGTGCACTATATATTGAGATTAGATGGTGGTTGGAGGTAGTCAACAGGAAACCCTGGACTAGGGTTTCGTGCTACTTGGCACTCGTCAGCAAGGTGTACCTTTAATCTTGAAGGAACTGCTGCTCCCTGGTGGATTCGATCTCGTGTCACCCAGCTTCACAGTCAGAGACGTTACCACTGAGCTATCCGAGCCGTGACCAACCTCCTGTAGGACTGTGATGTAATCACAATTGATTGATCACTGGGTGGTGATCAATGTCATGCGTGTCAAGTCCGAATCCGCCAGGGAGCACCAGTTCCCTCAAGGTTACAGGTACACCTTGCTGATGAGTTCCAAATAGCACGAAACCTGGGTCCAGGGTTTCCTGTCGACTACCCCCAACCACCATCTAAACTAATCATTGCTGCTTTTGATTCCAAACATCATTCGGGATTTATAATATAATAACAGTTACCATGGTGATTGATCAGCGAAGCTAAGGATAAAATGACTGGGAAGTAACTTATACTACTTACTATTTTATTAGTAATAAATTAATTATTCTATCAATTAATGTAAGATCTTGATTACATTATAGATGGTGATAGAAATCATTCAAAAGATAGAATATTATCACATATGAAATCTAATAATCTACATCATATTAAAAGAATTTCACATAAAGATAAATGGAAATCACCTATACAATTATCAGCATCAAAACAACGTGTTATTGAATGGTTAAAACAACAAGAATCATTTATGTCACAATTTATAATGTGATGAATAATTGTGAATGAGATTAAGATAAAAGAAATACTATAGAATATCTTCAATAATAATAATCATATAATCCATCTTATTCTTTGGGAAAATTTCTTTCCCCCTTATTGTACAGTAGTTATATTAATTGAATAAATAGATGATTTCAATATTATATTCTTATTTGAAATGATATTCATTGCTGAGGAATCCCAGGCTAGAACGAAACGGTTGTCTAGTACTTCCAGGTTTTCTATGGTGGTGGTCTAGCTTCAATTGACTCATGATCTCAACTATTGAAACTACTATATTATTTCACAAAAACCCCTTCTAATATTAATCAACATATACTCACTAGTTGAAGTTAGACATTATCACCGTTGGATGCCGGCTTAGTGGTCTAGAGGTCAAGCGTTTGCGCGCTAGACTGATAGTTCCTGGGCTCGATATCTCGTGCAGTGGGATTGTGGGTACGCACTGCTGAGTAGTCCCACAATAGGGCTCAATGGCTGTCCAGTGCTTCCAGGTTTTCCATGGTGGTGGTCTAGTTTCAATTGACTAATGATCTCAACTATTGAGACTACTATAATTTTCACAAAATCCCCTTCTGATATTAGCCAATATCTACTCACTAGTGACTGGCTTCAAAAGTTATTTCCTGGAGTTCTTGTGAGGAGCAGTGACAAGTGGAGCTTAACCGGATTTGTTGTGAGATAGTAACTCCCTGAAGACAATGGTGGATATGTCGCTCAATTTTGTGGATTAGTTGAAGTTAGACATTATCATTGTTGGATACCGGCCAACTCAATGGTCTATAGGTCTTGTTCACGCAAGAGACTGATAGGTCCTAGGTTCGAGGCGGGGTCGTTGATGCTCATTGATGAGGAGTTCCACAGTGTGACGAAACGACCGTCCAGTGGTTCCGGGTTTTCCATAGTGATCTAACTTCAATTGACTCATGGACTCAATTATTAATCAATAAATAAGTATTTTAATTAGATTTGGACAAATTGTGCATTAGTAAGAAAGTTAATAAATATATTTTCTTGTTATATCTCAATGGGTAAGAAATCGTATTTCTGACGCTTCATGATTTAATGTAAACCAAAAATATATTTATTTTAATTAATTTGTACAGCTTACTTGTAATCGGTTATAAGTAGTGTAAAACATTGGGTCAGGATTTTCTCCCAAAAAATACTCGACTTTTCCGAACTCAACATCTATATAAGCCTAATATATATGTCTTACAAGAAGCAGGCTAGTTTATAGTCAGATTGTGGACGAATTGATCACAACTTCACAGCCTGTCATATATTAGAGCACTGCTGCAATTATTCCAGGTCAATAATTACTTTAATTCTTGATATTGGAGACTATTCTCTGGAATTGTCTGTTGAATGAGTGTATACTTGAAGAGTCTGTTAACATCTTAATGGCTATGCACATAAATGTCTAAGGCAAAATAAACACATGCAACCGCTTTTCTGCATTATTCCAGTACAAGGGTAGATTTAGACAAGAATTGCCCAATCTCACCATTCTTCCTTAACTTTGCCGTAGAGGATATTCTGGAAATAGCTCTGAAGGAAGTATGTGGTGATCTGTTTCCAGGAAGGACTTTTTAACTATGGATATGTCGATAGTATTTTCCTACTGTGCGATGATATATAATCGATTCAAGCTACAACTAGTTAATTGACAATTAGTGCCTGTAGGTATAGCATATACCTTGCGCCTTCCTAGTGTAAAGCGCTTCTGTAAGACTGGGGGAAAATCTCTGCTTGCAATTATTTTTTTTTTGGTGATTCATTGGAAGTAGTCGAAAAGTCCGCATACCTAGAGGTAATTGTGAATGGTGATGGTGGCACGGTAGATGAAATCAGTTCATGTTTAGTGAGTCATAATGGTCAATCCGGATCACTTTTATAGTTGTAATGATATCCTTTCAGCTGTAAAAATTTGGGCTTACAACGCGTTGATGGAATCATTTTTTCCCCATGCTTTTGAAACCTAACCTCTTCGAGTTGGTGTTCGGTGACTCCTTATGTTCGATCATCCCTGTCGCTATCCAGTGGCAACACCACGCTAGTAGTATAGAAGTTCGGAAATTTATCTGGGTACAGAGAATATAATTCAGTTAGTGTGACTATCTTGAAACACTGACTTCGGTGCCTTGGATATGTTTTGAGAACGTTGTGTATTATTTGCCAACGCTGAGACTGAGTGGGAAAAGAGGATTGATGCAGTGATATGAAAGAAAGCTGTATAGGACTGATATCTGTAAGTTTATCACGACTCCATAGAGAAGTTATCAGATATAACTCGAAACAAAAACCCATAATGATCTTGCTATGGTTTTCTTTTTGCGTTTTTTATAAAAGTGACAGGAACTCCATTCAATGAATGAATTCTTTCTTCATTGTATGTTTAAATGAACTGTATACCCTATTACACAGTATTCTTGTCCACTTACATTTTGGATCGTACTACCTTTCCATCCTCTATTTCATGTCTTTATTTTGTGTGGTGTTTACTACTTTTGGTGCCCAGTCGTATCAGATTTAGCGTATACACAAGATAAATTATTTGAATACTGATGTAAACAGAGAAACAAGAAACCTTGATAAACTACGAAAACTATTTTTCGGGACGTTATTTCATTTAATTCAAAGCTTGTAAAACACTGACATTTATTTTTGTCCCTAATCTATTCTACAGATCATAAGCTTTCGTTTGATGTATGATTCACTGCTATAACCCTTTTTGTTCCAAAGCTATTGTAATTTAAACGTATTAGTTTGTACTTCATTTTCTACGCTAATCCCCAGTTTGGGACATTGTGGTGGGTTAATCATCTATTTATTCATGTATCTTTTTACACTGATCTGAGAAATTGGGAACCGGATCGGAATTGAGAATAAATCGAGTAGTGTTCTAGTTGACTTATCTTCTTTCACTCGCACGCTTATCAGCCAATCAGGTGATAGAATAGTTTTCTTCTCTCTATCCCACTTCGAACTCACGCATACTGACCTCAAGTTTAAGCCGGTCAGCCTATGGGGTCAAGGTGTTAATCTCTAGATTAGACAAGTTATCCTCAACACCAAAAGTGGGTAGACAGATCAAGGACATAACAGAAAACCCGTCAATTCAATATACAGCGGTGGGTTCAGTGGTTAGTGCGTTCGAAATCCAACCATTAAGTAACAGATTCTAAGCCTATTGCACCTAGTTTGATTTGATTAACACCTATACATATTTAAAATATAGTTCGAAATGAAGTACACAAATTGATACTTGATAAATAAGTTAAGTCATTATATATTTAAAATCATGGCGAGACTTTAAATTATGGACGAGCTAATCAGAAGCGTCTGAGGGATTTCAAGGTCACGGCGCCAACTTCAGTGCTTAATGCTAACGTACGATCGGTTCACAACGGATTTTGTACAAAATGTGATAATTGAGCGGCTATAACAAATAAAACGGCGGGACTACGGTTTGTGGACTAATCAACCAGGTATAAGATAATAGATCTCGGATTTTGGAGCAAAATTCACTCACCCATTTGGCTAAACAGAGTTTTGGCATTATGGCTGGTGTCAGTTCCTGATGAAAACTCTAAATATAATTCCTAAGGCAAATTATGACAATTATCGCGAACTGGAAAATAAAAGCACCAGTAACACTGGCTGCAGCCAGGTACTAATATATATACGGATATTTGGAGAGCGTACAGACTTCTTCAAAGGCTTGATTATGTGCATCGTGTCGTTACGCACAAGTAGCATTTTGTGCACTCAACAACCGGAGTGCACATAAACAATATTGAAGCTATGTGGTCGTAACTGAAAGAGTATTTGAGAATTTATCATGACTCGAGAGGCCGACTATTCTGTAGCCGTATGGATGATTTCCTCTACTGCATGCATTACGATTTTAGAACCTGTGAACCTCTTCCTAACGTTGACAAGTTCTTGAACCACGTATAAGTGTATCCGCTTTATTTCTCTAGTTATGTATAATATATTTTTACTCTATACTGACAGTTTGTTGATTGGCTAATATTTCTCAAGGTTGCTTAAGGTTCGTCCATAAATTAGTCTCGCCAAAATCATATACTGAAATCTGACTTTAATAAGAGGAGGAAATTATAGTTATGATTGATTTTTAAAATGTAATTGAAAAATCTCATAAATATACATGTTGTTTAAACTATTTCGTGAATTGGTTGAAGTTAGACATAACACCGTTGGATACTCGCTTAGTGGTCTAGAAGTCAAGCGTTCGCGCGCTAGACTGATAGGTCCTGGGCTCGATATCTCGCGGGATGAGATTGTGGGTACGCACTGCTGAGGAGTTCCACAATAGGACGGAACGATCATCCAGTGCTTCCAGGTTTTCCATGGTGGTCTAGTTTCAATTGACTCATGATCTCAACTATTGAAACTACTATAATCTCCACAAAAACTCCTTCCGATATTAATCAACATCTACTCACTAGTGATTGGCTTCAAAAGTTATTTCCTGGAGTTCTTGTGAGGAGCAGTGACCAGTGGAGTCCGACCAGGTCTGTTGTGAGATAGTAACTCCCTGAAGAAAATGGTGGATGTGTCGCTCAATTTCAGGGATTGGTCAAAGTTAGACATCAACACCATTGAATGCCAGCCTAGAGGTTAAGCGTTCACGCACGAGACATATCGCTCCTGGGTTCGATATCACATGGGGTGAGATTGTGGATACGCACTGCTGACCAGTCCCATATTAGGACAAAACGGTCACTTTATTTCTCATATTTTTAAAAAAGATAATTAGCCGGGGTCCCATGTATTATTATTATTATTATTATTATTAAGTGAAGATTAATTACACCTTAAGGAGACAAATCACATTATCATAAGAATCGATCGGACATAAAGATTATCTATGCCTAGTAACAATCATGAGTATATATATATATATGCATGTATAAATATTCCTGTTTTTACTTATATTTAGATAAAAATTAAAAATCAATTAGTTTCCAAGGTCAACACAATATAGAAGGAAACAAAATAGACAAAACAAAACAAACAAATTATTAAAAGAACAAAATCATTAATGTGATATAACAGAAAAGAAGTAATAGAATAGAGCACTTTTTCACACACACACACACACACTCCCCCCCTCTGTCTCTCACACACACAAACGTCAAAATCATCACAGGAATTGAAAAAAAGTTACACACATATATAAATATATATATACCTCTTCATAAGAGACAACTAAATAAATGATGTGGAAACAAGCAGTGATCATATGATAAAGTGGCTTTCCTCTTGACAACAAGCGCAATCATCATCATCAACAACAACATCATGATTTGCATTACATCATACCATGAATACGTATCCAATTAGAAACATAATAATATAATATCGACAAACTTTATTGATGTATAAGAAAGACACCCCCCCCCCAACGTGAAAAGGAATCTGAAACTAAAAGAGGAAATAACGAAAAGAAGAAGAAAGAAAATAATGAGTTTCACAGAGAAATTGATCTTGTAGTGTGTAATATATGTGTGTACGTGTGTGTGTGTATATACATATCGATGTTTCTAAAAGTATTCCGAGTGTACCCACACACACACACACACACACGAGTACACAAGAAAGAGAGAGGTGGAGAGGACCTCCTTTCTATGTAAATTGATCATAAAAAATAAATTTGATGTTGTAGTAATATGGTATGAATTTTGTTAAATATTATTGCATAATTATACAAAACATGTATATATATGTATAGCTTCGATGTACATTAAACAGTAGTATCGGAATATTAAAAAAAAATTTCTTTCTTTTTTGGTATGAGCAATTCAATAAGTTTTTTTTTGTGTTTAATACTTTAAAACAGAAAAGAAAACAAAAAAAAAACGAAAAGAGCCAAGTAACAACAGGAATCAGGTTTTACCATTGAAAATACACCAATTCATACGCGCGCGCACACCCACACACACATATACACATGTGCGTGTATGCGTGTGCGTACTTATGAACATGTTGAGGAAGACATGTGTTGTCAATTGATAAACATTACAAAAAAAAGAAAATGTAACAAGAGAATTTAAGTTTAGTTGTTAAGTATGAAATGATGAGTTCATATTCCCTGTTTATATGTATGTATGTTTATACGATGGTGAGGGGGGCTCTATCATCTAAAAAAAAGCGTTTCCTTTAATAGATAGATCATGTAAATTCTCTTATTATTATTATTATATAATAATTGATTACATAAGTTAACTTTACAATAGAATAATATGAGAGGTATTAAAAGAAAACACACACATACACATTTACATTGATTGTTCACAATACTCAAAATTTAATCTAAAATTACATGATAGTATCATAGAATTAAGAGGAGATTAGATTAAGAAAGAAAAACATACATCTGTAACACCCCCCTTCCTCCGTCCTCCTCCTTACTTACCTCAAATGGAAATAAATGACTGGATCAACTGATCAATAATGTCATAATTCATGAGATGAAATGTTAAAGAGTTGGAAGATAGATGTGTATGTGTGTAGTAGTAGTAGTATAATAGTAATTAGATGGATAGATGAAGGAGAGTATGAATACATAGAAGATTATATGAATATTGATAATGGGCTAGATTAATCAATTGGACAAAATCCTATTGAATATAAAGTACTTCACACAATCATCATCATCATCAGGAGTAGATGGAATTATAGTTCTACTACTACTACCACTACACTACAACTACGTCTTCTTCTTCATCTTTTTCTATAAAGTGATAATATTGAAATGTTGGTATTTTACATTATTGTGTTTGATTTCTAGCTTGATCTCGAGCGACTAAAATCAACGGTGTTAAAGAGGATAACGGTTTCGAACGTCGTACAATAAAAGGATGCTAAAATATTATTAAAAAAGTTTAAAAAAACAAAAGAAAGAAAATTACATAACATTTCAAGAATATATTGAAATAGATTGAAATTTTTATAGAAGTTCCTCAATGCCCTGGTATGGCCGAGAGTGCGGAGAGTCAGCTGTCACATGGCCACATGCATACAACCACTGTCACACAATTCCTACTCACTACATTCTCGCGGCATTACTGTTGTTTACAAAATTGAGAGGACAATAGGAGGATGTGTAACGGAAAGAGAAAGATGAAAATCCCTCCGCAGCGTTTTTGTTGGACAGTACTGTCATTTATTTGTTTCTTCTCGCTGTTGTGTATTTTAACCTTTGTTCAGATCTTGTTTAATCACATCTTTTGTTCTCCAGTCTTCCTCGTTTGAGCCTTTATTATGTGATTTTGATTAAAGACTTATCTTTTGTTACCTAATTTTCTATTGCATGTTACCGGACTATTGACAGAAAGGTCGTGTTTGACTAAGCTCAAGGTCATGGCGTAGTTCAGTGTGCGCCTGTTAACCTTATGACTATCTACTTGGTAGGATTGCTGGAATCCCTGCAGATAGATGTTTGATCCCATCTTGTTGGGAATATTTGTATTGATTCTCAGGTATCGAACCCTTTGGTACTAACTGTTTCTTTTATTGTTTAGCGCGTTACTTTGCGTTAGAGAAACTTCTGACTGTATAGCACAGTCTGTACCGTTTGATGTATTTTGTATTTTTGATGTAATTTGTTCTGTTTTCTAAATTAGAACCGTTTCTATTGAGCACAGAGTTTGTGTTTTGATATAATATAATACGAGTATCTCAAAAACACGTTGTGAGTTATACAGAGGAACGTGGTCTGGTCTAATCGAATAAATGTTGAGTTCGTCAGTCCGTTGTTCCATCCGAATATTGGTTGTTCGGTTGCTACAGAATGTCCAACGCTTTAACCGAATTGGTAGACACGGAGAGCCCATCTAGGGCAGTTCGAAAACCTTTATTCCAAACCAATGGTGCATATGGGCTGGCTCCACTATCCTGAGGGAACAAATGGCATATAAACCAATCGTTGGTCACCGGCTATCATAGGAGTTACTCCAATACCTTGTGGATTAGACCTTTAGGTCAAAGGCTCGGGGAGTGAACTCTTAAGATAACCATCTGCTTCGGTTTGGGCACCTGCGCAGTATCCCAGCTCTTACACAAATCGAATGATTTATATGGCGCATATGTATTCGGTGCCCCTTTGTATCAATATTTATGTATTCAAATGAATAACTGATTATATAAGCTATTTAAAGCTTTATAACTAGTAGATTCAATGTGAATTAGATGAATTTCAATACTTGCTAAATAACTCATACATAAAAGATGATACTTGACATAAGAGATAGTAATATAATCAATCCAGATAATGACAAATTAATCAATACCAATGAAATGGTCATTATGTATTATAGAAGTTCAAAGTATACACATCTATTTGATGCTTATTTATTTATTCATTTAAAGTGGATATTTGATTCATTCTGTGAAAATGAATCTCATACAATGAAGGGACTGTATGATTCTGTTCTAGTATAACATGAATTATCATTTAAGGATAATAATAATACACTACTATATCAGTTGATAAACATTCACTATTACCTTAAATGATCTATGATTGAAGTTATGATTATGATTATTAAATAAGGATAATAATGTTGAATGATTGAATAATGTGGAACCTAACATGATTGGACAGATAAATTAGTTCCAATTATCATACTACTACTGAAAAAGCCAATAAATAGAAAATCAATATGGAGAAAGTTAACAGTGACCGAAGATAGTGACGTGGCGTGCAGATGTAGACTATATGGTTCGAGGTTTGTGTGATCATCGTAATCAGTGGTTAGAGGGTTTATTCGACATGGCTCAAAACTGTTTTCAATGACGCAGATATGTTCATGCTTTATCTTTCTTGATGTGCTGAAGTTTCTGAATTATTCTAAAAGGTATTTTTTTTATTCCATGAATCCATGCGTTTTTTAAAGTTACATCTTGGATGCCTAATCTTTACTACTGCTATTAGTACTTTTGTAGTGAACGAGGCAAAATCTGACTCACACGTCCGCGTCGTGCCTCCTGGATAATGAAACGAATGACTCATAAACTAACGTGAGCGGTAATACGGGTGGTGGAGATCGGGCTAATCATCCACTCTTACCTATACCGACCAATCGATTACGAAACCCACAGAGAAACATAGCACAATTACATTTGGAATGGAAAACGACAAAAATTTTTCGAAAGTGGTGCATGCATCATATAGAGTTGCTCGTCATTGGGCAAACTTCAAAGGATTTCAGAAACGACTATTCTGGCCCCGGTAGTTTTGCCGTGCTTCGATGTGGCCTGTTTCTCTCCAGAAGGGCCTAATAGGTTTCACCGACTTGTTTGGCTGGAAGGGGGGAGTGAACGAGAACGCAAGTGGGGACAACCAAATGTATCTCATTACAAAATCACAGAATCTCTCAGTAAAATCTTATAACCATACAATAAATACTTCATTTACAAAATGTTAATCAATCGTTTCATGCTTTCTTGTTTCGTTGTTTCCACACCAATTATCCTCTTTTCTCTGATCTTCTTAACTTTCTGCCGCCAGGTATTTCACTTTCGATTGATGATACATATTACTTATATCTGTCGACATCAGTACCACACGCCACACTCTTACTACCTATACTATTCCAGCATCTTGCTGTACAGATATGGTGTAGCAACCTGAACCGATGCATATATATGCCAAGTTCTACGTTGTGTATGACTTACCGATGTCCTTCTGTTTCTGAATTGTTTGAGACATTTTACTCATCATTCATCAGCAATAACCATGTTGAGAATAATCAACAACATGTTAAATTACGGTAGAATAGGTAAATAGAGAGTAATGTGGAATGATAGTTCACCAATTTTTTACAACTTAATGAACTGATATCAGAAATATTTATAAAAAAGAAAGATTGTGACTAGTAGTAAAATCCAGGATGCACATTTTACTTCATTTGGAACTATTCAAAAGGATTCTCCTGTCGAATTCCAGTGTTCGCAATCATAGCGAGAGTCGAATCCAATGATTATCACTTTAAACAGCCAACCCATATTTACTCAGTTAATAACTCAGGGGAGCTGCTAACTTGTTAAACGAGTATGATATTTATGTTATTATTAGTAGTAGCAGTAAGAGGGGAAACTTGGAGAACTATGAAAACCATCATCCAGAACATACAAGTGCTTATCAACAGCTGTCTATGCAAAATAATTCAAATCCGTTGGCCAGACACTATCAACAACAAACTACTGTGGAAGAGAACAAACCAGATTCCAGTGGAGGAAGAAACCACAAAGAAGCACTGCAAGTGGGTGGGACACACATTGTGGAAAGTATCCAACTGCGTCACAAGGCAAGTCCTCACATGGAATCCTCAAGACCAAAGAACACATTACATCGAGAAATGGTGACAGACATAAGAAGAATGAACGACAGTTGGATAGAACTAGAAAGAAAAGCCAAGGACAGAGTGGCTTGGAGAATACTGGTCGGCAGCCTATGCTCTATTGGGGGTAACAGGCGTAAGTAAGTAAGAGGTCGAGCATTATTCCGCTATTGACATACCAACAATATTTCTAAAACAGTATTTTCTAATGAATAATAAATAGATAAATACATAATTAAAAGGACATGATTTAAGAAAAAAAAGAAATGCTTACCTTAAGTAGTTCAAATGCAGATGCACGTAAATCTACATTGACTTCAAGGCATCGATCTAAGAAATCTAGAAACTCTGCACTTAATTTATCACGTTCTTTAATCTCTGGTTTACCGTTTGTACCAATTAAATAAAGAGCCTACATCATTCAATTCAAATGTGTTTGTTTTTCGGGAAAAAGAGAAGAGAAGACACGTACATAAGTAATTTATGATATGATGAACATTTTTGTAAACAACTATCAATGTTTAAAACTTAACATATTGGTAGTGATTTCAATAGTTGAGATCATGAGTCAATTGAAACTAGATCACCATGGAAAACCTGGATACCGGTTCAGTAGTCTAGCGGTTAAGCACTCGTGCGCCAGACTGATAGGTCCTGGGCTCGATATCTCGCAGGGTGGGATTGTGGGTACGCACTGCTGAGGAGTCCCAAAACAGGATGGAACGGACGTCAAGCAGTGCTTCCAGGTTTTCCATGGTGATGGTCTAGCTTCAATTGAATCATGATCTCAACTATTGAAATTACTACAATCTCCAAAAACCCTTTCGGATATTAGTAGTGATGATGATGAGTTTCGAATGATTAAAGTGAATTTAAAAGGTACCAATAACATTGATACTAGCAGTTAAGATAGATTCGGAACTTAGATGAAAATGTATTATTGAATAACTAAGAATAAGGGATTGAATCATGTAAATCAATCTAGTCAATCATTAGAGTATAAGTTACTTTATAACAACAGATCAATGGACACCACCGACATAGATATGACAGTGGAATACTCGATGTTGCACTAACCAGTATGGACAAAGATAAATTATTATCTCGACCTCCGGAGTGTGCTCTATAACAACAGACACACCTTGTTAAATAGAGTCAAAAAATGTAAAAATATATATATATACGGAAGAGATTAGTTCATATCGTCTTCAACTGTTTGATTTAAAACGACAAATCATATAGTCAATATACTTATTACACTGAACTTTTTATAGTTGATAGATTAGTTGTTTATTTCAGTCAGTTACAATGTAGAACAAGGTAAACATATGCATCGGTTTAAGTTGCCATACCTCATTAATACAACAAGATGAACACTGAATTCATAGAAGTAATTACTTCAATGGTAGTAATAGGTTGTTTACTTAGTGCAGACTAGTAGATAGTTGATATATTTCCTTATTTCTTGTTATTGTTCTTATTATCTGGTGTTGACGTTGAGATCTACTGACGTTCTATTCAGGCCAGTTATATATTCTTGATCAAAGTGGTGTTAAAGTTTTGTAGAATAGACACTGGTATAGTATCTACTGTAGATATTCGTCTGAAGTAAATTCGTGTCTTATTGGTGTAAAGCAGAAAACCGAGCATTATTTCAAAATCCAATTAATACTAAGAATTACTGGTTGATATAAGATGGATCACCTTCATACATTGTGTTGATACTAAAAAAATACGTTTTGGTCTACAATAACATGTTATTAATTAGTCACTTCTTTGCATTCAACCACTAAACGCTCTCAGTCTGAAAAAATCTAAGACGATGAGTTAGATATATAGAGTTGTACAGAAACAGTTATTCTACACAGCTTTGTGTTTATTAGCATCAGTAATCTTGAAAAACCTTGTTCTCTCCCAAAGATTTGAAAGATACCCCAGTCAAAAGTATTATCACTAAGCTTTTTTTGCCCACAATATAGTTTAACGTAGACAACGTTGTACATAACTCCGCCTGGAGCTCCTCTGGGGCTACTGCCGGTCCCAAGCCCGGATAAAGGAGGAGGGTTGGGTATGGGGTTAACGACCCTTTCCCGTAGAAAACTAACTCGCCAAAAAAAACACTAACCAAAAAAAATCATTCAAGCCATCAAAACTCTGTCCTGGGAGTTAGAAGGTTTTCATTTAGAAGAGTTATGACGCCTCATGGTGTAAGTCGAGTTACTTCAAAAGCTACGAGGCTGATGCCCCGTACGGCAACCAGAGTGACCATTTATTTAGGTGCATGGAATTCTCCATTGAGAGTAACAGGCGTAAGTAAGTAAGTAAGGAAGGAATGTAAATGCCGACCAATTATGAGATATTAATTAGTGCTTATTAATGATATAGTGTTTCATCACACTGACTGATCATTAAATGGTAGTCTTAAAAACTGACGGAATTCTATTGATCAAGCAGTAATGCGACCCACTAGTCTAAATGACAAAACATCACGTGCATTATATTAGTTAGTGTTAGGTAGTTGGATGTAGTCAGAAAGAAACCCTACTTGACCTAAGTTTTATACTAGTTGAGACTCATAAACAAGGCATATCTGCAATCTTCAAGAATCTAATGCTCCCTATAAATATAACTATTTCACAGGTCATTTGCGGTTCGAGTATCTCAGTGATAACGTCCGAAACTTCGAATTTTTCATTCTATGTGTAATAACATCTCTCATTCTTAAAAAAGGACTGTAAAGATGAGTTTCAACATATGCTTATTGCTAATGAAAACATCATAACTATCAAAGTGACAATAATACAGCTTTGAGATATAATATTTATTCAACTGAACAGTTGCATCTCAGATATGCGGAACATTTAACTCCTCATTATTCATTCATTCATTGAAACTCTACTCATCGTCTTTCGGTTCAGACATATGAGGAACACTGTTTCCAATTAGATCCTCCATTAGACTTTACTCCCTAGGTGGTTGAGAAAGATTATGACCATAATAATACACAACTAGCTGCGATCTATCACACTTGATAGACAGAGGTCATTTAGTAGGTAGGACCGAATCCTTTAGAGTAATTTACCGCATAACTACTACTATTCTTCATAGGGTTTGATTTCATCTTTTATATATAGCAGAAGCTATATGGTTTCGAGCTAACAACCTAATTCTTTGTATTCATTATAATAAATTTTGACATCCTTATCGTTTCCGTGGCTGAATTAGGCTTGTTGTTCATTTATTTTTCTTCATCACTTTCACAAATATATTCTTTACTGTTTAATTATTTGAATACATCTCTTATTGCCTAATTTTGATCATTTTTAACGATGATTATCTGACTATGGATTTTTTCTTCAAGTTTTGGTCTACTTCCCACATTGAGACATTGATTCAAACATTTTTTATTCTTATTTATTGGAACACATAACTATTCTTACAAAGGGGTACCGAATACATATGCGCTGCATAAGTCACTTGATTTTTGTGTGGGTTTAGATACTACCCAGGTGCCCAGACAGAAGCAGGTAGTTATCTTAGGAGTTCACTCTCCGAGCCTTTGACCTAAAGGTCTAATCCACAAGGCAGTGGAGTAACTTCAGGAGATACGGTCCTATGGTAGCCGGTGACCAACGATTGGTTCATATGCCATTTGTTCCCTCAGGATAGTGGAGCCAGCCCATGTGCATCATTGATTTGGAATGAGGGTTTGCCAACTGCCCTAGATGGTCTCTAAGAGTCTACCAACTCGGTTAAAGCGTTGGACATTCTCTTTTCGTCCTCTGAATTTTGTAAACAACACCCCCGCCACGAAAGGTAGTGAGTAAGACTTCTGTGGCAGTGGCTATCTACGCATGGTCATGAGAGAGCATTTCCAGAGGGAGAGCTGACTCTTCCCACCTTCGGCCGTACCAGGACATTTGGGGGGCATTATTCTTATTACAACTAATACCTGTTATTACATCATCTATTTCATTGTTATCATAAACTACCTTAATAAATTTCAGATTACATGCGTTAAAATAAATATTACTGTAAATTAAATTGAATAAACACTGATGAAGATCTAATAAAGAGAACAATATTGTTCATTTATATGTTGTGCTAACAACAAATGCAGTTTAATGTAAGGCATTAATATTTAAGTGATAAATTCCTTGTACCTGATTCAAACTTTATTTGTCTACATTGAAGTTCTACAGAGATTTAATTAATCAGATTTTCATAGCCGAATTAAGTAAATGTAGTAATCTTTTGCAAATTTACCCAATTACAATTACAAATGTTTATTTGTGCACATACACACATACATAACGTTCAACTATCAATGTAATGACTGCATCTCAATAATTGAATGCCCCCAAATGCCCTGGTACGACTGAGATTAGGAAGAGTCAGCTCCCCCGCTCCAAATGTTCTCATATCGCCATGCTTATACAGTCACTACTATACAAGTCCTACTCACTGCCTTTTCGCGGTACTACTGTTGTTTACGAACTTGGGAGAACGAAAATTGAATGTCCGGAGCATTACCGGGTTGGTAGACATGGAAGATCCACATAGGGGAGTTGGAAAACCCCCGCTCTAAACCAATGGTGCACATAGTCTCCACGATCCTGAGAGAACAAAACGTACAGGAACCAATTACTGGTCACTGTCTACCATGAGACTGCATCTCCGTACGTTGCTCCACTACCTTGTGGGTCATACCTGTAGGTCGAAGGCTCCGGATGTATCGTCTTAAGAAAACTACCTGTTTCGGTCTGGGCACCCGGACAATATCACAGTCCACACACAAATCAAGTGACTTATGTGGCGCATATGTATTCGATGCCCTTTTCTACTAATATTTATGTGTTGAAATAAATAAATAAATAATAAAAACAAAAACAAAGGAAAAATTTACAAGACTAAGAGGTTTTATTTTCCCAACGTTTCAAATATTCAATAAGTGTTTTGTATCAAAGATTTCTAAATATTTTCTGTTCATTTGATCAGTGTAGACATTGTATAATGGAGTATAATTTTCATTAAATATTTCATTTTCGATCTAACATTTTCAGTCAGTAAGCAACAACGTAGAACTTTGTATGTACGTACATCAGTTCAAGTTGTCATACCACAACATTATCACAGAGATATAATTGTCCATTCAAAATACCATAGTGGTAGAACTAGTAAAATTAGAGGCAGTAATCGGAAAGTAAAAATTCACTTGGTGTTGTTTTACTTGTATCTTCCCATTTTGTTATTTAGGACTGTAATGGATCAGTCTCATGTTGGCATATGTACATCCTGTGCGGATTACCTCAATATAGCCTTAGGTCACATGGATTATAAACAAAGATGGATGATAGTGGCTAGTAGTGGAATCCAGTTTGATGCGCGTTTCGTCCCATTTGGGATTCGTCAGCTGGGAAAACATCGCAAAGACGCGAGTAACTTTAATTGATATATCTTTATGCGGTTAAAGTTGAGATTACTAGGCAAGAAAATATTCAAAAAACAAATAAATAAAAACTTACACGAACAGGATTTTCATTTAAATATGGTGGTTCACCATCAATCATTTCAATAGCCATAATACCAAGTGACCATATATCTACTTTTGGTCCATATTGTTTTCTTGTTACTACTTCTGGTGCCATCCAATATGGTGTACCAACCATTGTAGAACGTTTTGTTTGTTCTGGACTAAGTTGAGCACAAAAACCAAAATCAGTTAATTTTACTGAACCATCTAATCCTAATAAAATATTATCTGATTTAATATCACGATGAATCACTTGATTTTTATGAAGAAATTCCAATGCTTGTAAACACTGTATTGTAATATAGAAGTATAATAAACAATCATTTGAATGTATCATCACCATCATAACCATATTGAATTCAACCATATTCACAAGTGTGTACGTATTTCGAAGATGAAGAAGAAGAAAAAACATGTAGAGAAACGAGAAATACAGAATAAATAGAATGAGAAAAATTATCATTCAATAAAATTTTGTACAGTAACATCAGGGACTGATCATAATTAGATAACTATTTGTAGTCAGCCAGCTACAACGTAGGACTAGGCATATATATATATTAGATGAAAACCAAATTCATAGAAGTAGTTCATTCAAAGGTGGTCATATATAAAAGAAATAAGAATTGGTTGGTAGAAAGAAAGGTACAAAGCAATTTCAATCTCACGGTTTAAGGAGAGACAAAGAGTGTATACATCTACGCCATTGTGATCGATTCTGAGCCATGTCAACAACAGTCTCCAACCATTGGTTAAGATAGTCACGTCGACTCCAACCAAGTAGTCTACATCTTCCAACATGGCTCAGACTACAAGCACTGATGCTACAACTTGGTTTGGCTGCCCCTAACTTTCATCCAGCCATTCTAACAGTAGTCAGCATTGCACGTCGTGGTAATCGGTGTTTAGGTATACGTAACATGTGGCCCAACCATCTCAGTCGATGAAGATTCACAACCTCGTCAACTGATTTACCATCATTCTCTAATACCCTGTGTTGAATCTCACTGTTATTTAGCCGGTGATCCCAGCAGATGCGAGCAATATTTCTAAGGCATCTGATCAGACTTGCAAGATAACTGAAGTTGTGAACGCGTTCGACTACTTCACTCCCTATCCTTAGTTCAGGTGTTGACGCAGGCTAGTCCTGAAGCAACGACTTGCATTTAGAGGAAGGGAAGTGCATCCCAAACATTCTGGTATTGTTGTTCAGTGCTACCAAAACACTGTATCTTATCAACGTCTTCACTAAACAGGACTATATGATTAACTATTTGTAAGCAAAGAAACATTGATCAGTTGTTTTATTTCAATGTGGGAAACTTCTCAATAGTGCACACTTACATCATCAGGGACCATATATAACAGCTTCAGGTTTTGTGGTAAGTGCCTAATATTTTTGATTAATGGATTAAAGACTTGATAGTTGGATATTACAGACTTCAATCGGTTCGTGATGCTTCCGATGTCAATAATTTATGGTTGCCTTATGCTTGATATTGTCGAACTCTACTACTCACAGTTTCCCATCAGAATTACAGAAATTAGTCACTAGTGAGCACATGACTGTTAGATGTATGGGGGATTTGTGAAAAAAAACACAACAGTAAACTAAAGACATTTAACACTAGTATACTTATTTATTACTAACAGTGAGTAATTCCCTGTTGTTGATATTCAGAACTGTAATTTACCAGTCTCTGCTGGTGTACGTCCACCATGGAACGATTGTCTTGACAGTCATTAAGTTTTACAATATTTACTATATGGCTTAGTGAATAAAAAGATTGTGTTTGAAGCGATGGTTAATGAACTCAAGTCTAATTGTGGACATCAACACTGCGATGTCGTAAGTAGATCCAACTGACTAGTCCCAAATAGGAAACATGAGTTCTTGATTTCACTGTTAAGTAAGACAGTGAATACACTGAAATTAGTGTGTAGTTGATACGATATTTTCATAGCTACAATCGATTACGTACCAATCAGATCGAAATCTAAAGGGAAACGTTCAATTCTCTAAACTTAAAATGCAGGATATATATTCGATATATAAAAAACTGCCTTTCTGCTTGTCTATATACACAAATTAAACAAATAAATGAAAAAGGAATTGGGAAATATCTCCTAAAAAAACTTTTCATAGTTTTATAAGCATTTCGTATAAGGATAAGGAAAAATCTCTGTGGGATGGTGGAGAAGATTTGTAGCTCAGGTGGATGATTATGATAAAGTTTGTTCTGTGAGCCAGCTCAGAGAATCCGGTGTTCATTTTGTTGTGCGATTGAGGTATGGCAACTTGGATCTATGCACATATGTGCCTGGTCTTACGTTGTAGCTAACTGACTGACTGATACTTAGAAACCTGAAGCCTACGCATGTTTTGTATTTTCAGAGACCATTTGGTTATCTTTGAAATAATCCAGAGCGGATTACTGTCAAGTATACACTCCTTTTGGTTGTGAGACAAACATCTAGCGTGTTTTGTTTACTCAACTTACCTACCTGAGTACTTTAATATAAAAACAGATGAAAAGATAACGAAGTTTTTTTGAAAAAAAATATACATCCGTTGCTGAAAACTCACAAATCGACATTGAAGTATGTAGATATTTGAAATTTATTTCTCACATTGACTAAATTGACCAAAAAAGTATGAGCTAGCTGGGAGTCTTATCGATACTGGTAGGTTTGTGTCGGATGAAATCTTGGTATGAATTCAGATAACCTACCTAGATTTTGTCAATTTGCATCACTTATGGTATACGCTAGATGTTTGTCTTACAACCAAAATGAGTGCATTGATCACCTTTCCGCTTTTTCAAACCAGTCCTAGTGTCGGCAAATAAATTCTCTGGGACGACATTCGTAGAACATGTCCAAGCCACCAAAGTCGGTGTTTCAAGATGGTGACACCAATTGCATTATCATCTCTGTGCCCGAACACACGATGCCGAACCTTTGCATTACTAACATGGTGTTGTCACTGAATGTCAGCAATCCTTCGAGGACAACAAGGATAAAACACAGAGAGTCATCTAACATCCTCAACTCGGAGAGGACAGATTTCATAAGCATAGAGCAACACTGCTCTCACCGACGTGTTGTAGATCCGACCATTCACAGTCAGACTAACATCATGAAGGCGCCAAAGATGGCCCAGATTAACATAAGCAGTTTTTAACATTATTGTTTTATTCGTAATTCGATAGATTTATTATTCTTGAATTATAGTTTCGACTTGTAATTTTGTTTTAACTACTACTACTACTACTTTTATGAATCCGGTGTCCATCTTGTTGTGTTAATGAGGTATGGCAACTTGGACCGATGCATATATTTGCCTGGTCCTACGTTGTAGCTGACTGACCACCACTAATACTATTACTTGCTTCTATTAACTTGATATTTCATTTCACTTTATGACTACTGAGTCAAAAAAGAACATGCACACTTACCTCTCTGCATACAGCTGCAATTTGTCCTTCATCCATTAATGTTTCAGTAACAACTTCTGTTAATGAACCACCATCTAAATATTCCATTACAACCCATAATTCATCACCAACAAGATAACTATCTAAATAATTAACAACATTTGGATGTTTTTTAACTTTCATTACATAAATTTCATTAACAATTAATTCTTTTTTAGGTTGTTTTTTTAAATTCATTTGTTTTATTGCAACACGACGTCCAGTTGTTGATTCAATTCCACTGTAAACAACACCCGATGCTCTAAACAAAAAAGATATAAAAGTATATTAGACATTCATTATGTAATAATATAACTGAAGTATTATCAAAAATTTGAAGACAAAAACACACATTGCAGTGAACAATTCAATAAATACAAATGTTTATTGTCCAAGGTGGATTGGTCTGAGTATAGTATTAGGTATGATCGTGAAAGAGCGGATCGGTAAAGTAAGAGCAGCATATCTACAACCGAAGAACATCTGGAACTCAAAACAAATGTCTGTTAACCAAAACTAAAGTCAGAATTTTTAAAACAAATGTCAAAACAGTTCTACTGTATGGGGAGGAAACTTGGATAACTACGAAAGCCAGCATTCAGAAGATACATGTGTTTATTAACAGCTGTCTATGCAAAATACTTCCGATCCGTTGGCCAGACACCATCTGCAACAACTTACTGTTGTGGGAGAGAACAAACCAGATTCAAGCGGAGGAAGAAATCAGAAAGAAGTGCTGGAAGTGGATAGGACACACATTGAGGAAAGCACTCGATTGTGTCGCAAGGTAAGATCTCACATGGAATCCCTCAAGGCCAAAGGAAAGGAGGAAGACTAAAAAGCACATTACTCTGAGAAATGGAGACAGACATGAGAAGAATGAACAATAATTGGATAGAACTAGAAAGGAAGGCCCAGAATAGAGTGAGTGGATTGGAGAATGCTGGTCGGTTGCAAGGATATCTGAAAATCTCATGTTTAATTTATAGTAAGATTGTGGATTCGAATTGTCATGAAACAGATCTTTAGTGCATCCTGATTTTCAATTGCTTATTTAATTATTATCAGTTAGTAATGTAAAACTGAAAAACTCAATAATCTCCAATACAACACTCAAATATAATTATGAAAAAAAACGATATTTTATGTATAATATCGAATCCAATTTTCAATCAATATTCATAGTTTAATTACCATTGAAATCATAAAATGGACTGTAATGTGAAGTGGAACTCATTTATCATTTAAACTTATAAACATTGGTACCTAAGGGGCATCGAATACATATGCGCCATATAAATCATTCAATTTGTGTGAGGGCTAGGATACTGATCGGGTGCCCAAACTGAAGCAAGTGATTTTCTTGAGAGGACACACTCGGAGCCTTCGGCCTACAGGTCTAATCCACAAGGTAGTGGAGCAACGTAAGGAGATGCAGTCACATGGTAGTCGGTGACTAACAATAGGTTCATACGCCATTTGTTCCTTCAGGATACTGGAGCCCATGTGCATAATTGGTTTGGAATGAGGGTTTTCCAACCCAACTAGATGGATCCTCCATATCCACCAACCCGGTTAACTTACGCCTGTTACTCCTCGTGAAGCAGTATAGGCCGCTCACCAGCATTCTCCACCCAACCCTGTCCTGGGGAATCCTTTCCAGCTCTTTCCAGTTGTTATTCATCCTTTTCATATCTGCTTCTATTTACCGACGTAATATATTCTTTAGCCTTCGTCTTTTCCGCTACCCATGAAAATTCCAAGTTAGGGCTTGCCTCGTGGTGCAGTTTGGTGAATTCCTCAATGTATGTCCTATCCATCGTCTTTTCCTGATTTCTTCTTTAGATGGAAGTTGGTTTATTCTCTCCCACAGTAGGCTTTTGCTGATGGTATCCGGCCAATGGATGTTGAATATCTTGTTTGAACAACTATTTATAAATACTTATACGTTCTTGATAATAGTTGTGGTAGTTCTCCGCGTTTCAGCGCCGTACTATGGAACTAACTGTGTTGATGTTCGTATTGAAGATTGTGAATTTGATATTGGTTGATAGATAGTTGTTTTGAGTTCCATATGTTCTTCAATTGTAGGAATTTGGCCCTTACTTTGCTAATCCTCGCCTTTACGTCTGCATCTGATCCTCCTTGTTCATCGATGATGCTTCCCACGTATGTGAAAGATTCTACATCTTCCAGAGTTTCACTGTCAGGTGTGACTGGGTTGATGTTTTCCGTGTTGTATTTGAGGACCTTAGTTTTCCCCTTGTGTATGTTGAGGCATACTGATGCAGAAACTGCTGCTACACTGGCTGTCTTTATCTACATTTGATCGTGTGTATGTGCGACAGGAGGGCTACGTCACCTGTGAAGTTCAAATCGTCTAATTGATTCCGAACTGTCGATTGTATGCCGTTTTTTCCCTCAAATGTCGAGGCCTTTATAATCCAGTAGACCACCAGAAGAAAGAGGAACCCGGTTAAAGCACCGGGCATTCAATTTTCATCCTTTAAATTTCGTAAACAACACCACCGCCGTGAGAAGGAAATGAGTAGGATTTCCCTGACAATAGTTGTATCCACGTGGTCATGTGAGAGCATTTAGTGATGGAGAGCTGACTCTTTCCACTCTCAGCCGTACCAATGCATTTAGGAGCTTAAAGAGACAACTTTTATTGTATTATTCACTAAATAAGTAATATCAAACTTTTTTATCACTAATTTATCAGATTACTTTTTGTCTCCCTCTCATAATGATATTATGAATAACATTCACACAGGCCTATATATATTGAAGGAAGATGGATGGAAGAAACATTCCTATATCCAAATATACACAACACATTAATTCTAAATAGATATTATATTCAATTCAATGAGATTAAACTGTTTTGTGTAGTTTATTACAGTGAAAATGATGATTGTGTCAGACAATATAATTTCAAAAAGAAGTGAATGGTGTAAAAAAAAGAAACCAATTAGGTTGTTTGTTAAAAATAGAAGATGAACCATTTACAGTTAGTTAGATGTGTTTTATGTCTTGTTTTTCTTTCTTTCTTTCTTTTCTCTCTCTCTCTCTCCCTTATTGATTAACTAACTGGATAACTGAAGGGTAATTTCCAGAAGAATAAATAAACAACAGGAGGAAAAAAAGTGTAACTATTAAACGACAGTAACAAAGCTATCGGTTTCTTATACAAAATTATAAAGTAAAAAAAACCCAGAATGTTCTCAGTATATGGTTGTGGAGATCATGAACCGACTGATGTTAGACAACCATTGAAAAACTGGAAGCAGTGAATGGCCATTTCTCCCTACTGTGGGACTCCTCAGCAGTGCTTTCAGGTCTTCAATGGTGGTCTAACATCAATAGGTTCATGATCACAATTAAAAACAGAATGTCTTTTATTTTGCATCACATAAAAAACCTTGGTAGATATATCACCATGGTATAATCTAGAGCACGTTTAAAACTATTAGGGCAAATTGTTTATTGTTATGATAAAGTGCAAAAAACCGCAGAGATTCACCACATAAATCAAACAAATCCCTATGATGTGTTCAGATGAATGAGATTTTATGGTAGCGTTATTCCCGCCAAAAAATGCCGTGGTACGACCGAGGGTGGGAAGAATCATCTCTCTCTCTCTCTTTAAATGCTCTTACATGGCAAGGCGTACACACTGATTGTCAGGGAAGTCTTACTCACTACCTTCTCACGGCATTACTGTTGTTCATGAAATTGAGAGGACGAAAAAAGAATGTCCAAAGCTTTAACCGGGTTGATGGACATGGAGAGTTCACCTAGGGGAGTTGGAAAACCCTCATTCCAAACCAATGATGCACATGGGCTGGCTCCACTATCCTGAGGGAACAAATGGCATATGAACCAATCGTTGGTCACCGGCTACCATAGGACTGCATCTCCTGAAGTTACTCCACTGCCTTTTGGATAAGACGTTTAGGTCAAAGGCTCGGGGAATGAACTCCTAAGATAACTACCTGCTTTGGTTTGGGCACCCGGTCAGTATCTAAACCCACACAAAAATCAAGTGACTTATGCAGCGCATATGTATTCAGTACCCCTTTGTAAGAATAGTTATGTGTTCCAATAAATAAACTTGAAAAATTGAGTATTAGAAAATCAATACAAAAAAACTACCTAAAATCACTAAACTCAAGCCGATTTCATAATCTCGATTATGAAATACTTCCGGTTCAAATAGGACTTTGCTAATCATTTTAAAAGTGACTGTAAAATCACAAGATTAATTCATAAATTCGATAATAGGCTATCTCTAATAAAACAATAGTTAAATACAGGAAACAAATCAGTATATGATTGTGGAGATTGTTGAGTTTAGATTGATATAATAAACGGATCAATGTTAGACCATCACTGAAAACTTGGAAGCACTGAATGGCCGTTCGGTCTTAGTATAAGACTCCTCAACAAAGCGCATCCACGATCCCGCACGAACGACTCGAATCAAGAACTTTCGGTCTCGCACATGAACGCTTAATCTCTAGACCACTGAGTCCCAATATTAGAACGAAACAGCCATCCAGTACTTCTAGCTTTTCAATGGTAATCTAACATTGATCCATTCATAGTATCAATCTTAACAGAAAATAAAATTAGAGAAACATAATTATCATTGATAATTTATAGAACAACATATGCTATACAACAGACGCCTACAAATAAACAAAACATGATCCGTATCTGTGCCAAAAATATCAGAGAGTAAAATCTAAAAAAAAGACCAATTATAATTTAATTGAACATGAAACAAATTGTGTACAAGTGTAATATATGTGATATTCATATTATAAGAGATTGAATTAAACACAGTGAAACTATGATAAGAATAACTTAAAATATTTTAAATTATATACTTTAGAAGAGCATGTATATGTGCGAATGTGAGATAGATAAATGCCCAAAGTCAATCAGTCAGCTACAACTTAGGATCAGGCAGATATATACATTGGTACAAGTTGCCACACTTCACTCATTAGCACAACAAGATGAACACCAAATTCATAGAACTTGTTAATTCAGTGGTGTTAATATATAAAAGAAAGAATGCGTATAAGGATATAATACAAGAAGAAAGAATGAGTTCGTAGAGTTCATAGTTTAAGAGAAGACAGGGAGTGTATACACTTACGCCATTGTGATCGATTCTGAGCCATGTCAACAACAGTCTCCAACCATTGGTTACGATAGTCACGTGGACTCCAACCAAGTAGTCTGCATCTA